CACCCCACCCATACCCGTACCCATTAAAGATAAAAATAATATTAAAAATATCCATTGATTGATTAATAATAACGCGACGTCATTGGATGCATTTTTGACAAATTGAGTAGGGCTACAGTAATTTAATTCTACATGAGGAACTTAGATGTGCAGTGGTTCAATTCATACCAGGTGCCTATGTAACCCAACTACCCTACTCGCGCGAATAAGCGCCCGGGCGGTTAAAATATTTTTTGCACTTTCTAGGGGCGCTTATTCAAACGGGGCGCTCATTTAAACGGGGCGCTTGTGAAAACAGAGTGGAAATTGAAGGGGCGCTTATGGAAATAGATGAAAATCGAGGGGTTCTTATGGGAAATTATTTTAATAATTAAAAATTCAAGAGGCACTTTTTGAATGAAAAAAAGATTATATAAGGACATTACGAATGGTGGTTAGAGGAGATAATCGTCCAGAGAACATGGCTCATAACAAGAATGCTTTGAATATTTACATAACAGCAAAACAGCAGATGCAATTAATGGTGGGTAGTGGTCTAGCTTGTTGGCCATCGGCCGATTGAGATTAGCAGGATGGCAGGATCATTGTATTTTTCTTTTCAAACGGGGCGCGTAAGGAAATTTTCACGGTTATTCGAACGGGGCGCTTATTCAAACGGGGTGCTTATTCGTGCGAGTACGGTAGTGCTATTCATGCTATTTTTACATTGTATAGACACTAATTTTATATATATTTTAAATATATTTTTAAACTATCATCAGGGCTATGGTGAAGCAAAACAGTAAAAACACTTTGAATTCAAACCAGGCAGGTTCAATCAAAAGAAAGATTGTTACTCACAACATCGTTACGGTTGGTATTTTGCCTTTTGACATTGACAACAAATCTAAGATTAGACGTACTCTTGAACGAAAAATGATATTGCTAATACAGTACACTTTCAATCAATACCCGTATTATCCACCACGGAAAGAAACCAAAAGGTGAACAATCAATGGCACCACTCTGACAGCGGCCAATTATATGCGCACTGATGATGGACAAGGGCCGGGCCTAACTGAAATATTATTTGATTCTAAGATGCGCGCTTGATCTTATCGGATTCAGTTCGAATTATTCGCACGTCTACATCATCAATTTTTAACCGACCTCTATGTTAATGATTCCGTACCACTTAAGCGGCCGAAAAACACTTATATTAAAGCTGTATAAATTTTTAATATTCTACAATCATATACTAATTAATTAAGTTTTCTAAGAAAAAAACTTATAATTTAGTTTTGTTTCCATAAGAGTAATTGTTTTATTAAATTGATAGGGCCTATTCTATTTCTTTTTTTATTAGGGGAGACTTTTTTATTACCTTGTTTATCAACACTTTTTTTTAAAGGTCAGAGAAGGGCGGATAAAAACAAAATATTGTTTCTTATTTAGCAAAATGATTTTGCCAAAAGCATATAGGCGGAGGAGAATTATAAAAACAAAATGTTATTGATGAATGAAAGGTGGTGTAATGAGATTGTTAAATATTTTTTAACATAATAAGAAATAAATAAATACATTATTTTTGGAGATTTCTGGGGAGAAGAGGGCGTACTAAAAATAAATAATGGGGTTTTTTTTCTGAAATTCGTATTTTATGTTGCAGAGGGTGCACTAACTGGCAAAAAATAAAATTTTATTATTTTTATTCGAAATAACTATTTAATTGGCGGTCAGAGGGTTCGCTAAACAAAGTAACTGTAAAGTCTCGTCTTATTACGTATACACTAGCATAATAGCGTGTGCCATTGCTGTAAATATCCAATAAATTTGATTTTATTGATTTTTAAAAGAAACAGTAGTTATAGGATTTTGTGACATCACTTCGGTTTCTAAGCAGCTGCTTTAATTGCCACTTATATACGTATGGAACGCCATCTAAACACACTCAGCTGATTATATATTCAGCTGAAGGTGGTACAGACTGTGATAGGCCTATTATAAGGAATAATTACTTACTAGGCCTATAACTGAGGTTAATATTATCTTTATTTAATAATTGAATATTGTTTGATTGATGTTTTTTCATTATTCAATGGCCAATGCAATTTGTTTAATCATCGAAACACATTCATGGATGCATTTCATCACATCATGGAGGTATACACCTCCATGATCACCCGTGGCTGAATTGTAATAATCGGGTTATTGCGCGCACGGCGCGCCACACTATCTGCCGATTGATGCTATGCTACTGTAAACAACATGGCGTCAACTGGAGAAACCGATACTCTCCTTCGTCATCGTTCAACAGGTAGCGATCAGAAACAAGACACAGTTTCATGGACCGATAGTGAAGGTGACTCTGACTATGATGACCCTGATTTACCTTATGGTGGAAAGGTTTATCTTGCGAGAAAGAAGAAACCAGACACACTTCTGGTTCGGTTTATCGAGGTTGGTCAGTCAGCACATACATAACATAATAGGAAGCCTAGTAGGCGGGTATTCGCCTAGGCTAGTGTAGAGTCCCTAGAGTACTATTTAGGAAAGCAATACTACTTTACTAGGCCTACCTAGAGAGTAGGGCTGAGGCGCGGTGGTTGCGGTCTATTAAAACGACGATATGGGATAGCCTAGGCCTCATATAATTGTTCTAGGCTGAATAGGCCTACTACTACTAGTACCACCTCCCAACTTTACTACCAATAAAAAGAGTAATCAAGTATTAGAACACATGCTATCGTGTTGGGGCACGGTGGAAAAAGAGGCACATGTCTTAAAAACGTTAACAAAAAATGTACTGTTTTTAATTTACTAAATTTTGATTAAAAAATTGTTCTTATAAAAGTTATGGATTTGAAGACAGTTAATGTAGTGTTTATTATTAATATTATTCTAAGCTAACTATCTAATCTGTTATTATCATCATCATTTTAAATAAAGTTATTAACATTTTTAAAATGATTATTAAAATTTACTTATTTTTATGATAATTGTGAACAAATTTTGAAATATTCCATTCTAGGCCTAAGCATCCATCCTAATGGTGTGTTTCTACTGATAAACACAAAATAATCAATTTTTTTAAACTGCTTTTTTAATGAGTACCAGACAGCCTGCTCGCGTTGCAACTTCATTTTTTATTTTTCGAAAATCGGTTTTCGTGAAGGAAATTACGTCACCATTTTGTTTAAAATACAACACGTTGTTTTCCTAACTGTATAGGATAGTATCTTTTTCATTCCTGCCACGATGGCGAGGAGTAAGATATGGTGTGGGACATGAAGGCAAATGTTTTTGGCTGTGCTTATCGGCACAAAGAACAAGCAAACAAACGAGGACAACGGTAGGCCCAAAAGAGCGGAGAGGCCTACGCCCAATATCCCCCCACAAAATAATTACATAATGAATTCGTCGCTCGACATGTTTGTTGACGTTTTTAGCTTGTAGGCCTAGGACATGAATTTTTTGGAAAGTTTGCGCCTAATACGATCTAGTCTTTGCAGTGATTGACATGGAGGTCACATTTCACCTGATGATCACTTTTTTGTGTTGTACCTAAAAGGTGCACAGCCAAAATTGGTTATTTGCCGTTCAAACACGCTATCCATTGCGTGTTTTTAATCAATTTTTTTTAATCGCTTTTTTCAAACTGGTCCCGTTTCTACTGCGAGAATAAAAGCGATTTTTCGAAAAAGCGATTTTTAATTGATTATTTCTTTCCAGTAGAAACAGGCCCTTAGTATCATGGACCTAGATCCTATGGTATTATAATATAAACATTTTTGATGACCTTTTTATTATATTTTGTAGTGTGAAATGGGCAAAGACTTTGGGCGATTTTTATACCAAATGAATAAGGACTAAACAATCTTTTTTCTTTATAAGTTCATGTTCCATGAATGCTGAATTGCACAGAGCAACCTCCCATTCAAGACCCTTTTAATTGTAAGGCACCTCTTATCATGAGACCACTCTAATCCTGAGACCCCTCTAATCCAGAGACCCCTCTGATACTTAGGTCCCTTTAATGCTGAGACCTTTCTAATCCTGAGACTCCTCTAATCCTGAGACTCCTCTAATCCTGAGACTCCTCTAATCCTGAGACTCCTCTAATCCTGAGACTCCAAGACTCGAATTCCAAGAGCCCACTAATCCTGAGACCCATTTAATCCTGAGGGCACTCTAATCATGAGGCACCACTAATCATAAGACCCCTCTACTCATGAGACCCCTCTAATCCTAAGATGCTCCTAATCCTGTGGCTCCTCTAATCCTGAGATCCCTTTAATTCACAACAACAATTCCCTACAAAAAGCTGAATCCATCCCTCAGAGCCCACACCCTCCCATAAGTGTCTAAAAAAACAAAACTTCCTGAGAAGCACATATGGTCCCCGTCCTTATTAAAATAATTTCCGCTGCTAGTGTTATGTCACATTTCATTAATAGCCAAACCACTTCCTGCTATTATTAATTACCATCTTTTATTTCAGGCGTCTGTTGTCATAGGCCTAGTGCTGTTCATCTATTATGCCTACTACCATTTTGAGAACCTGCGGTTTAATGTTAATCATGCGTATGCTCACATTGGCCACACACACGCGATGCATCTGGTTGGGCAGCGCTACTTAAATGGTTTTGGCGTTGATAAGGATCATCAGCAAGCTATGCGTTGGTTTAGGTAACTTTTTTTCTGGCATTCTGGTATTTTGTAGGTTTTAACTTTACTTTTGGTAGACACAGTGGCACAAGCAAGATTTTTTAAGTGTGTTGCATAGTGCATAGATTGATAGCAGATCATAAATGTATCCACATCTGTCAGCCAGCCATTTGATAATTAAAGTGTATTTAAAACGTCATTATATTTCCTTCAAAGATACGCTGCAGATAGAGACCACCCTCACGCGGCTCACAACTTAGCAGTCGCCCATCTTCAAGGCTACCCAACAGACGTCAAGAGTAGAGAGTAAGATTTTCATTTTAGTTATAAAGATATCGTGATTTGTCAGAAAATAAAATTCATAAAAATGGATTTTGGTGGTCAAATATGTATGAATAAAACCATAGAGAAAGATGAAACTGCGCATTAGATTGTGTTCAGAAAATCAAATTTTATTTGACAAAAACATGTAACATAAATATGGTGATGATGACATCACATCATGTCCATATATAGGCATGCCATGACTATATGCAGTTTTTTGTCAAAGCCTCAATTTATTCCCTAAAAATATTGAATTCATCTCAATAGACCTTTAGAGAGTGTCAGTCAAACTTAACCAACCAATCAAAAAAGGGCAATGAATACTCGCTCCTCCCACAAACACATGTGTTGTCCTGAAAACATGTGTTTACGTACATTTAGTGTATGCCACAGGTTGGTAAGGCGCGGCTTGACAGCAATTTTTTGTGGCCCGCGACAACCCCATATGTGCAGCCCACCTACCGTATTTGGCTAGAAAACACCTTATTATGACCCAATACAGATAAAATGTAAAAATTTATATCAAAACTGAGCAAAAAGTATAAAAGTAGTGTATGCAGGTTTCTGGAAATATCAGAGTATATGTGCGGTGTTAAATCAAAAATTCCCTTTAGCCCTCCGACCAATGTTTATACCCGCCCCTGATTTACACATGTCATTTTGTGGGAACTTTACTAGCAATATCCAAGGGTCAAAGCTTATTGTAAAGGCATTTATTTAAAGGTATTCTATTTAAACATGTATGGTTTTTTCATGTGCTTGGTTTGTATTTACTCTTGCAGAGAAGCCAAAAAGTTACTGAAATTTGCAGCTGATAAAGGCGTGAAGGAATCCAAGGATGCCTTGAGAAAGATGTGTCGGCATGGCGATTGCTAAGCTACAGTATGAAAAGACCAGAAATCAGAGGCAATACTGATGATATTGATGTTATTGAATTTGGTGGATACCAGGTTTTGTAAAACGGAAAGCAAATGCTGTTGAACTTTATTTATTATTTTGGTTTCTAACTACAGGTCTCCCTCCAATTAAAGACCACTTTGGGACCAGGGTTTTCATAGTGTTTAGCACCTTTGTTCTCAAAGTGGAATAATAAAGATAAGACATCTGTTAATATGGAACCACAGAAAAGTGGTCTTATATTGGAGGTGAGATTAGATGCCACAATAACAAGAAAAATCATTGCAAATTCTGTTGTTTGCAAACAATAAGCAGTACTTACTGTAAACATTCCAAAAATAATGATGTGCAGTTGTTTAATAGGGACTTTAAACTTACCTCAATTTATATTAATTGTATTAATTTAACATTAGTTTCTTTGAAGATAGTACTTGCTATATCAGTGTATGCAGCTTTCCAAATTTTAAAAGGATGGTTTAGGGACGCATTTAATGAAAGAAAATTTTCTTTTTATTGTGGCATGTAGTTAAATCAGCCTATCCTATAGTAGAAATGATAGCAAAACACTAAATATGCTCTATTTCTGGCACTGCAGTTTGTGGATTTTCTGACATTTTCATGATCATACTTTTTGTATGATGGAATCAGATTTGATAGTTGAATAGTAGTCATGCTGATTGTTCTATTAAAAATGTTCTGAATTGCAGAACAAAATATGTTAGCAGCACATTTACTGAACACTTTCAAATTCTGCCTTGTTTAGAATAGTTAGCCCTGGTGTACTATATTGAATGGTCCATGCCTCCGGTGTTGCCCCAGTAACAATTACCTACCTGTAACCATCACCTTGACACAGTAACAAAGGCAATCGAAAAAGACATTGTGATAGAAACATTCAGGACAACATTCTGATGTTATTTTGGTTCAATCACAAATGAAAGTTTAACAACACTATGTAACCTTGAAGTTTAGAATAATATTGGACTTTGGACAAAGGGCATTGTTTATAGATTTTAAAGTTGTCAGTTGCATATAATATGCAATTTTTTGATCTTTTACAGTTTGTACTATGTAAGGTGTTATGCAATACAGTATATATTTTAATGTTTTATATGGTAATTTTTTTCTTCAATGTATAAATGTATATGGTCTGTGCAATAACTAAAATAATGCAAGTTAAAGCTACTTTTACAAGAACAAAATTGTATTGCAATCTATTTTAGGAGCTATTGTTGTTGCTAGTTCGTTTCCACTTAGGCTTGTTGTTTGCTACTCAGGATTTTCTACCCGGCCCATTGCCAACATGACATTTTGCCACCCTAGGTGTTATCTTTCAAATCCTCAAATATTTCAAGGATTGATAAAGCGTTTATATGTACAGAAATGGTTTTATTACCTTTAGTCATTGACATGTACGATATGTCTTGCTATTTTTGACATTGAAAATATAACTGTAATGTGTTATTGATATATCATTGTTAAATATAAACATTATTTGAGAAACATGCTATTTACTGGAAACATAGGCTTACTAAATTTGTCTTCTTTTATTTAATAGAATAGAACAAATATCAAAACCACATTATAAAAGTTTAGCAGTGTAAAATCACAGTTTGTGACATGTTCTAATGAAACTGGGACAAAATATGATATGATATTTTATTATAATTAATAATCTATAATTAATTAATTGGTTTATTTATTTCTCTAAAGCTTTCTTCACACTATAAAGTTTTATGGGACAAATATGTGATGTGAAACATATATGGGCAAGATGATGTCTTATTACACCCAAATATGGGCATTCATATTTATTTGTCACATAATATTTAATAATGTTGATAGAGCAATTGAAGTGCTATTTTTTAAAGGCAAATCTCACTGTGCATACACAGTTCATGTATGATTTCACACATACAACAATGGCACCAGAAATTTGCCGACAAGCGGTCCGTAGCAAGGGACCGCCTAGAGCCTCGGCCTGGAATGAAAAAATCCCTGGTAGAGTTCATGGGGGTGTTTTGGGTTAGTTTGGTTCAATATATGCTTTTAGACCACAATATTAATGATTGGTTATTTTGGATAGACAAATTATTTTTTTTTTTAATTTTTTATACGACCTAGTTGTGCGTCAGACAACAGGGGGTCCAGGCCTGTTCCCCCTCCTTACCCCGTTGGCACCACTGCACACAAACATAATACATGTATAAAATATAGAATAATTTTGTTTGCTTTTTCTTTAGGTTCACCTTACATTGTCTTTACTTGGACATGGCACTTTGAGACCATGTTTATTTGCGCCATATAAATTGGCCTATTATTATTATTATTATTATTATTATTAGTGTAAAATTAATGAAATAAAATTTTTACTTAAATCTTATGTTTTCAGACAATATAGAGATAATTATTTGAAATTATCGTGATAAATTCAGATCTGAAAACTTTGATCATTGATTTCCTTACCAAGCGATTTTTCCTGGTTTCATGGGAACATATTGCATACAATTTGTGTGCAGTATGCATGCTATGCTTCTGTGCATTACAAACTTTACCATACTTATTGTCTGTTTTGTTTTGGTTTGATGCAATACTTTATTAAAACATTTGAATATTCTTTGTTTGTAGGGTATTAAATCATAATTATACAACTAGGTTTCTGTTGTATTTTGGTGATTTAACTTATTATATTTATCAGTATCTTGTGAGGTTATTCAAATACATGAAATATAGTTTGAAATGTATATTTTTGTGTTATTTATAAGTATTTGGCGTTTAAGTATGTTCTATATTTCAAGCATTGTATCAGACGTCGTAATTTAGCAGAAATGCTCTGTACCATTGTTGAATAAATGTTTGATTTGATTTAATTTGATAATAATAATATAATAATTTATTAGGAACTACACTTTTTAATCAGTGGTACATTTCTCAATAGAAGATGTGTCCAAAACAATACAGTGTACAGTAAAGTTCACAAAAAAGACTTGCTAAGAAAAAGATAGTCACATGACTGTACCATACTCACAATTATAAACATAGAGGCATACAGTACATACTTTATACAACACCACCTATCATACAAGAAGCACACATATCAGGCCAGATCACACAAATGCATATAAAAGTAAATCAAAAGTCATTTAAAGTAATACAGGACTAAAAAAAAACCGTTCATTTTCTTTTTTCAAATATGTACTGTCTTTTAAACTTGTCATCGTGACCTTAAGTAGATAGCTTATTAATATTAAATAGGCATTATATTGTGAGGTGATTTGGTGATATCAGATACAACAGATTACAGGATTCATAGAATTTATCCTGAATGGATTGTATGTATATGTACATACAAATTTGTATGTACACAGAATTTATTGTGAATTGATTAATTGTATTGCGTATCTCTTGGCGGATTCGGCTTTTCATAGTATGGCTGGTAGAAAGAGGGCGGTATTCAACACGTGAAGTGCGTGCAAACATTGTATATTTGCAGGAAAAGTTGTAAAAAGTTTACTGCATGCAATCATTTCAGATGGTGCTATTATAAATTGCTGGTTGAGAATGTTGAAAAAGATAATACCGCTTCGGGTGCAATTTCAAACGGTATTGAATACGAATGTAAAACGTAAGTTTATGTCGTTTTGGGCTAGGCCTAGTTAACAGCATATTGCTAGGAGGCTAGGGGCTTACTTCTACTACAAGGCCCAGGCCGGGCTGCTACACTAGGCTTTAGGTTAGTCGTAGCCTATGACTGAGCGGAGAATAAACACAAACTAGAAAGTATGACTAGCCTCCACATCAAAAATACGCTCATTCTTTATATATTCTGGCCTAGCCTGTCAGCAAATAATGATGATAATGTCAAATTTGATTTTCCTAATATTATATTTCTTTGGACTTTGGCATTTCTTAATAATAATAATAAAAATAAATAATCATAATCATTCATGGTATGTTTTCCATATTATTAAAATATATTAGGCCTAGGCTTATTGCATCATGTTAAGCAGAGTAATAATGGGACTTCTTAATACTGTAATATAATATAATTTTAATATTAATAATAATGATAATAATTCAAAAGTGCAATAATAATAATAATGGATTCACAACTTTTAATTTTAAATTTTCATCATTCTTAACATCATTTTTTAAATATTATTATTATTGTTAATAATAATAATATTATTATAATAATAATAAATAATAATTATTATTATTATTCAAAAGTGCAAAGGGAGATCATTTGGGTAAGCACTTAATTAAGTTTATGAAGTTGAGTGTTTGAAATAAGAATGTATTCTCTTTTTTTAATATCACTTTTAACTTGTCCTTTTAAATATTTTACATATTAGTCAATTCAGGCAATTTAATTTAATTTAATTTATTGTTTATTGTTTCTTACATTGTAAAAATGTTCAAAATTTGTTGAAGGGCCCCAATGGAAATAAGTTTTATATATTGTAAAACTTTCTTGGGTTACCTACCCTAAGAATTAATGCCTTATCTTTTGTTCTTAATCATTTATCTGTCCATTGGTGTTTCTATTTTGTATTCAAGATGATTCAAGTAATCTGTGATTTTAATTCCTGAATAAAATGAAATGAAATGAAATGAGATAAGGAAGGCTCTTGGAGTTTTGGTGGAACCCAAAAGATGTTATCATACTGTGATTATACTTCTTGAATACAACTTACTTCCAATTGCTACACACTTATCCTCCTCCGTCTCTTCATTTAAAACTGCCCTCGACCACCTGTGTTAAGCCACTTTTTTATTTGCATTTCTTGCTTATTTATTTACTTATTCTTTTTTTTTGTAGTTATTTATTTAATTTTTTTATTAATAATTTTGTTCTTTTTATTTATTTTTATTGTTGGTAATTACTGTATTAACTTAAATTACATAATTGGCTACTGATTTTTTGCTATTTAAATTTGAATCGTTATGTTATTTTGATACTTTGTACAGGGACTAGTTATGTTACCTCTCATTCTCTTATTTGAGTTATTAATTATGATTATGAACTTAAAACCAAGCCTATCATATAAGTAGTATGGTAAAAGAATTGAGCAATGCTGCTATGTCAGGATCTTCAATTAAGTGAAATTGCTGTTGTAAACAGCTGTGATTGCTGTAGTTTCTAAGTTCTGCACCATACTGTAAATTTATTTTAATTTTAGGGATGATACCTCAAAAACCAGTTAAAATTTGCGCAGAAAATCGCTAGGAAAATAAGTGCGCAGAATCATAATTACTGCATAGTACATTGTTTATATATTTAATAAGATAAAGCCTAATTATCAGCAAAATCTGCACTGAAATCAGCCCTTATTTTCGTAAATGCGCAGACAGATTTTTGGCCGGAGGATATATTTCCAGCACAGGCCTTGCTACACAGTCCTCATGGCCTTCGTCGGGAAGATTGCGTCACAACAACTGATTTAAATGATGCTTTTTTTACATATTCATTCGTCAGACCAAAAGTAACTCCACTTAAGTTGGAGAGCCGTCTTCCCATTCGGCCTTGAAAAATTATGCCCCAAACAGGGCATAAGAGTATATGTACCGTACCGCTATCTAGATGACTGGATAGTCCTTTCAGATACCAAAGAGTGTTTGATAAGTCGCATCACACTGGTATTTCAAATGACAGCTTCGCATCCATTTTAAAATCATTATCAATGTTCATTTACTGTGGTTAAAACAAGATGTACAACAATAAAACCAATCACAGACCAGGCCTCAAGATGTTTATTTTTTCAATATTCATCGAAGTATGAATGAGGGCTGACAAAAATATATTACAGAAAGATGCTTTCAACTCAGCATTTTGTTTTTAAGATGAAATATTTTTATATTTATTTAATTTTGATCATTCTTTTCAACAGGTATTCATCACTCCACCGAGGAAAGTAGTTTGGTTCAAGCTGCCAAATTCCATTTTGAATCATTACCACAGACAATTAGGACATTAAACTCATTTTCTGGAAGTTCATTTAGAAGGAAAAATCCAATTAATGGGTTTTATCCCCATCATCTAACACCTGGTCAGCGTCAGTTCATTCACACACGTGCATTTTCCACGCAAAATGATAAAGGGAGTCAGGGCAACAAGAATGGAGAGGTTGAGGAGGAGCCGATTGTTGCTATGTACGATGAGAGCGGGAATAAATTGAGTAACTGGGCTCGGATGAAGATGATGGCAAAGGCGTATGGATACGTGATCATTCCTGTACACTGGGTCATCGCTCCTGTCTGGTTTGGTTCATTCTACTTAGCGACATTAAACTCATTTTCTGGAAGTTCATTTAGAAGGAAAAATCCAATTAATGGGTTTTATCCCCATCATCTAACACCTGGTCAGCGTCAGTTCATTCACACACGTGCATTTTCCACGCAAAATGATAAAGGGAGTCAGGGCAACAAGAATGGAGAGGTTGAGGAGGAGCCGATTGTTGCTATGTACGATGAGAGCGGGAATAAATTGAGTAACTGGGCTCGGATGAAGATGATGGCAAAGGCGTATGGATACGTGATCATTCCTGTACACTGGGTCATCGCTCCTGTCTGGTTTGGTTCTTTCTACTTAGCAGTGAAACAGTATGTGAAACTTCTCATTTATTATTTGTTATACAATTGTTTATTGTTTGTTTTTTTTATAGATTTTTTGATGTAATGTAATACATACACTGTTTACGGGGAGGAAATTTAACAGGGGGGTGGGGGGGTAGGGTGCTGATTACCTGAGCCCCACCATGGTTGGTTGGTTTACAATAAAAAATTATTTTCACAAATCAAATAAAATGATTTTATTGTTTTCCCATGTTCATGACGTCATTTGATTTTATTAGTGAAATACATTAGATGGAACAGGCCTGCTGCCCCCTTCCAACCCCACCAACTGCCTCCTCTTTTACTTTATAAAGATAATTTTTGGGTCGTAGCAGGGGTCCCAAACCTCCTGCAAGATACAGGATTTCTCCCGGTAATTGGAACAGCCTCCCACACTCCCACAAGCAACTTAAGCTGGAATCACCCGGAAAATGACCCATCTTCCACAAATTCATTATAATTTACATGCTTTTATTACTTTATCATTTGTCTCGCAGAAGTCAGTGCCTAGGGATATCACCATGCTTATGAGTTAAGGCGGCTCACTTAACCAGATCTCCCGAAAGGGAGACCGACCTCTCAGGTACAGCAAATTTTATTCCAAGCTTGCTCAGCTCGCATTTACTAATTGTTTTTTTTTCTTTTCTTTTTGTAGTGGAATTGACATAGTACCTGTCCTGAAGAGCATTGGTGTAAGTGAAGTTTATTTAAGCAAATTACAACACTCTGGTGCCAGTGATATCCTGCAGGCCTATGCCATGTACAAAGTCGCTACCCCAGCTCGCTACACTTTAACATTAGCTGCTACTGAGATGACAATCCGTGCCTTGAGGAAGAGAGGTTTCATGAAACCGCTACCACCTAAAGAGAAGACGTACCGGGAATCAATGCAGGAGACGTACGCGGGAATGAAGGAAAAGATGGAAGACGTGAAAGGAGACGTGAAAGACAAAATGGATGACGTTAAAGATAAGATGAGCGATGTTAAAGATAAGATGAGCGATGTTAAAGATAAGATGAGCGAAGTGAGGGACAAATTAAAAGAAGGTGAAAAGAGCAAACAGAATTGATCACTGAGTCACTGAGCGAACAAATAAATTATTATATTGCAGGAAGAGGAAACTTTTGCAATCAACTGTCTGAAACCTGCAACAGGCGAATCAAGAGACTAAATTATTAGCTTGTAACGTACATCAACTACAGTTCGCCCTTCAAAATCGAAACCACTTTTGAGACCAAAAGTTTTGGGGTGGTCTGGGAATTCGCTTTCCACTTAGAGGGTTAGCTTAGTGTTAATCGATTGAAGATTGTAATTTGGTTCTTTGAAAAAGTGGTCTCGAATTTTAGAGGGGTCTCGAATTGGAGGGTGCACTTTACTTGCTTTATTTTAATATCTACTATTCAATAACCCACCCAAGTTACAAAATAGAAATGAACTGTACTAAACATTGCTATGAAATACTTAAGATGGAAGTGGCAGTGATGTGATGGGCTATCTTGCTGCCTTATTCAAAATTTAAATGCTACATCTTTTTTTTCTTTCGTTTGTTTTCCTCCAGAGGGCAGTATACACTAAAACCATATTACCTATCTCACCCTAAAGCCAAAATCAGACCAAGTTTGTAGAACGTTGCATAGCATTTTACTGTATATGTATTTGTTTGTGATAAAACAATTGCACTAATTCACAGAATCTACACCGGCCACTTGTCATCAAAAATGAAAGTCTGTAAATCAGGTAAAATTCCCATGTATTGACCATTGATCATTATACATGTTGAACTGAAAATATGAATTATAATATCTTTGACATTTTTGTTATCTGATTTTAACAATTGTTGCATCAATTATTAGCTTTTGACCTCAAGGTTTCAAAGGTCTAATAACTTAATGGCATTGGTCATGGTTGTGCACTTCTGAAGCGCCTGTAACATTCGTCTCTATGCGCTCTCCAGAACAACAGAAAAGAACAAAAAACATGAATAATGTATGTAATTTTATTGCATTGTGAAAGATGATTAATGATGATATTTTATTGCATTGTTTCCTCTAGGACTTTTAACTGTATAGATCGTGTTTGGTAATACAGTAATATGCTTTTGGTGAAATACTGTTCATACTTGTCGTTCCGTAATTAAACCCTTTTTATCATGATTTGCTAATCTATTTTGATTAATTAATCTTCAAATAAATCATCCTTTGTACGTCAGATATGAGCTCTCTTTCATGAATAAAGAACAGCCAGTCAGTCCATAACTGCATTAAACTTTTTACACGTTTTCTAGCTATAAAAATGGTTGTGTATGCAAAAATTGAGAGTTTAAACATTACAATAGCGACTAATTCAACATTGTGACATTAAGCTCCAACAAATATTTAATCAAATTCCTAATTCAGTAAACATTACTTACAGTTTCATTGTACAAACAAGTACTGTAGCTCATTATTTTACTTTATGCTGGGGGTTTTTTAAGGCAAGTTAATTTTTTGCAGTTCTTCTGTAAGCCGTCTCATATATATGCGCAATAAACTTTTTTGGCAATGTCAAGGCATATAGCAAAAATATTGCACTCGGATAAGTATAGTAGTTTAAAGAATGGTTGCATTAAATATCTAGTAATAAAGTTGTAGCTGTGGTGGTTGAGATGCTTGGCTTCGCGTCACAGGCTGGTTAAAAAAAATCAGCACAGGATTTTTTGTTCGCAACTGAAAAAACATCTCCACCCCTTAAGCCTCATAATGCAACTAAGTCTACAAATATTCACCAAATAATTTCATTTATTTAAAGCACCCCTGAATATTATCAGCTTACCTTCTAGGATAGGCTGGGAGATGGTATAAAAAAGCATTTTGCATAGCAACCAAAATAATTCTGTTATTTCCAAAAATTGATTCTTTTGCATGATAGTGGACATTTTGACATGTGGACTGAATTTGATGATAGTTAAAATTCATGAAATGAAATTTCAGGGACATATGTAAAGAATGACTGTATAAATTGCGTAGTAACTACTCGATTTAAACCTCATAATGAAAGTCTGTTAGATTTTTTCCGGCTAGTAAATATAAGTGTGCACAGGGTGTTTGATGTTGATAATTTAATATATCTTAATGTTCAACTTAAGCATACTGGGTAATTTGTTCCTCCTCCTTCCATTGATTTCCCGTCATTAAATACATTTTACAACTGTAGACAAAATTCATTAGCTGTTGTCATGTTGGTGGTACAACCATTCATAAGAGAAGCATTTGTGTATGGTTGTTTTTTTTCATTGATCAATTTTGTACCTAATTTTATTTATATAAATTGTAAGATACTGATATGTAATTATATTTAATAAATAATTTTTAATAAAGCAAACTAATGAAATTATTCCACATGAGATGGTAAATAGTGTTAAAGCTATAAAAGTGAAATATTTTGCTAATTTGTCTGTATTACAAATCAGTTGCTAAAAATGGTGTTGAACTTGCAAAGTTCTTTTAATATAGATCTATGTTGTGTATGCGTTTTTATTTCATTTGAAAACAAAACCAAAAGAAATTATGATATTTATTAGTAAATAAATGATTAATTAGTTTGTAGTACGTTTTTCGTATTAATTAGCGTGGAAGCACTGTATTAACATAAAATGGCAACTTAAATAGATTTTATAATGTTTTGTTTAGTCTGCTGAGTTCCAAAGTTTTAGACAAAGTTTTTGTACCTGATAAATTGTTTTGTTAGCCTTGAAAAGATTGGAGGAATGGGTCAGGTTCCGGAATATTGGGAAAAAGGTGGGGAAATGGTGGTTGCGACCCTTTTTCTTCTAGTTTTTAAATATTAACAAATTTGTATCTCAAATTCTCAATAACCGTCTTAGAAATATCAAAATATTTTTTTCCTCTGGAGCCTGACTTCGAGCCAATGTATTAAGAGTAATTGTGAAAAAAGTTGCAACAATTATAAACATTCTGTTTATGCCAAATGGATATCTTTGCTACTTTTTTTCATTTAATTACTCTTCAATTATATGCTTTTTTCCCCCCTGGATAAAAAAAATGTCTATTCATAATTGGAGTGGTTTGGTGGTTAAGGTGCATCATGCCTTGTAATCCCACGGTCCTGGGTTCAGTTCCTGCTTACAGCAGAATTTTTTTTCTCTCACAACTAAAAACTCCACTCCATAAGCCTCAATAAAGCATTGTTCCATTCTGAAGTGGCAAGTGTACTTGCTTTTGGATGCTGAAGAAGATATAGGTTGATGCTGTTCATAATTATAGTAGGATGTGCCTTTTCAAATTGTCTTCAGCTGACTTAAAAACTCCATTTTTATCATGCAAATTATCAATAATTGAAAGAAATTGTACTATATAATTATATCCTTTAATTTTATGGACTTGCTTTCACTGTAACAAGGTTTTATATATTATATATATATATAT